TTAAAATAATATATTTTAAAAAGATAAAACAAAATCAACTAAAATTACCAATCCACACGAGTTCAGTCCAATCAAACTTAATCTATTAAGAAGAAATATAGAATGAATTGACAAGTAAAATATTAAAAAAAAATATATATATATATATATATATATATATATATATATATATTTATTGATGTCCCCTGTCTTTTATTACATGCTTAAGCAATTTTTAATTTTTCAGTAACTTATAAAGTTTGTCCTTAGTTCTTCTTAACTTTATGATTTGTTGTCTTCGTAAAATTAGTCATCTATGTCATTCATTACGAGACGACGTAACCAATTACATGTATATTTTTTATTCATTTAAATAATTATTTGTTCTCTAATAAATTTGTGAATGTTGTTTTCATCCTTAATAAAAAAATAGTTAAATTTTTTTATCCTATTATTTGTTGGCAGTTTATAAATGATAAATTGTTTGTTAACGTTATATGCTGAAAATAAACACGTGTATTTTTAAAATGTTACTTCTTTTAAAGAAAAAAAAGGTTAAATATTATAAAGAATAAAAAAATTATACCTTTTTAATGTTTATCATCTTTGAGTTTCATCAATGAATGTAGTATTTACACTTTTCTTATTATAAATAATTTATATTATTATAAAAAAATAATGTGTATAAAAATAAATACTAGAAATTATTACAAACTAAAATCTTATTTAAAAGAATACATTTTTTTTATTAATTTAATCACTGATGTGATCACTTAACGAATAATTTATTATTTAATAAAAATACTAAACAAACAACTTTTTATTTAAAGAGAATATAATAATACTAAAGGATAGAAATTTGAAAAATATAAATTTAATATAAAATAAGATGAAAAAAATAAAGTTAAAAATCAATGACAAAATTTATAAATTTAAACATATAAAAAAAACACTTAAGCATTCATTATATCTTATTATTATTGTTAGCGAGGAACCTTCGAGATCCTTTGATTAATATAATTAGGAATAATTAACTTGTTATATTTTATGAAAAGAGTTTGATTTAGAATAATTAATTTGACATTTAATATATTAGTTACTCACAATTATCAAAACGAAGTGACAGCTCATACGTGATTAAAGGTATAATTAAATTCTTCATTGTACAACCTAAATAACATTTTACACTTATTAAACGGAGGTTAACATAGGTGTTTTATATGGAAATATATCTAATGACTTTATTAATTATCTTTAATAACCATTCAAATTTAAATAATTTAAAATTATTGAATTAGTTATTCATTTAATCAATATACATAATAACATGATTCGACCATTATGTTAGTATGAATATGGGATACAATTGTTTATAAATTTTGGATTTGAAAGTACATAATAAATTATATTAATGTATTTATATTATAAAACTGAGGAAAACACATGTATTATAGCGCAATTATTTTATAAGTTTTTTAATTAAAAATGTCTATAATTACTTAAAATCTTATATCATAACTTAGTTCTAAATCCATTATAATAAATACAGTATACAATTTATATACTTAATAATATTATTTATTATAAGATTTAATCGTATAACATAAAATTTTATTCCTTTAGAATATACAAGTAAAGCAAAAATAAATATTTATACTCAAATAATAAATTAAAAATTATACAATTTAAAAATAAAATATTTTTTTAGTACACTGTTAATTTAACTACTGTAATAATTCTAAATATTATGACTTGATAATAAAACAATATTTTATTTAATATTATAAACTTTTTAATTAAAATTTAATACATACACAGTTTTACAGAATTAATCATAGAACATAATTTTTTATTTCGTTACATAAAAAGTTATTAAATTATATATTTATTAAAATAATAAATTAATATTTTTTTCACTAGAAATCTAATTATTCATTTAACCTAAACTATATTAAATTTTTTTTGATAAAAAAAATCAATTCTCTCTGAAATTATTGAATTTATTTTAGTGTACAATAATTAATGGTGTCGGTTAACTGAAATATTTTCCATTTATTTTATAATAAATGTGGGATAATTTTTTATATCAGTTTTAATAAAAACATTTTAAATAATTATTGATACTTGATAATTTATGACTAGAGTATAAAATTATTTTATTTTTCAGTTTTTTAGTTTTTTATTTTATTTTATTTTTTCTTTAACTTTAGTAGAGTATTAATTAAATATAAGTACATAACAATAAAAGTGTCAGGTATAAATAATTGTATATGAAATTAAATATGTCATTAATTATTTTTTGTGATCAATTAATATAATTTCATATTTTTATCTGTCTGTATATGAAAATGTTTGAAGGCGTTTCTTTTGTTCAAAATTTGAATTTGGTTTTCATTTTAAATCTTCACATGACACGAATTTCTATCTTTCATGTTATTTTTTTATATTTTTGTTAGAGCCATTCATCTTAAAATGTTTTTAAATTAATTTGTACTGTGTTTTACATTAGGATTTGTGGAAAGCTAGATGAGCCGTTATTTTAATCAATTTAACAGGGGGGAATATTTGAGTATTTAATTTAAATGAATTTATAACGTTAACATTTTCTATTTAACTACAAATTATAATTTCGTAATATTTTTTTAAAGAAAAATTTAAGATTATTGCTAATTAATTAATAATAAAAATAAACACACTAACGAAGTATCAAAATCAAACATAATGTTTTCATATATTTATTAAGAAAATGATAAAATATATTTTTCGTCTTTAAAAAAAATTAAAGTTACTTTTTTTTCATCATGTTAACCATCTTTAACCTCTCTAGTTTTGAAATGCACTACTCTATTTTTCAAAATTTTATCTAAATTAGTCTTTCTATCTAAATCACTTTGAGGAACGTTGTGTATTTTTTTTTTAAAAGGATTAATAATAACTTTTGAAAATAAACTTATCTTAAAATAAGAATATAATTTAAAAATTATTTCATTTTAAAAAATAGTGACTCTAATATATCATATAGTTGCCTGCATCTCTTCATTCACACCAAGGCCACCTACTTTCGAAATTGTTCACCTTTTAAACTACACAAATGTCAAAATGTAAGTATATTTTGTTTCTTGACCTTTCCTTTAACATAAGATTTTTCTCTCTACGTATATAAAATGAAATTTAATAGAGTAAGAAATCCCACATTATAATAAAGTTAGTTAAATTTCTCAATAAAAAAAGACATTACCTAAAAGAAATTAAATATTAGGTCTTCAATGAATTACAGATTAGATTCCGTCTTTAATGATATTTTTTTCTTTTTCAAGTAGATTATTATTTTATATATCGAAATTAAAAAATATTTCATAAATTCATGAGTCATATAATTTAGGAGTTAAATTCAAGGGTAATTTATATTAATAATCTTTTTTTAACCCACCAAAATTTCTTTAAAGACAAAATTGTTACATACTAGAGTTTTAAAATGAATAATAACTGAATATAAAAATTGATCTTAATGAGTTAAGGTTAACATCCACGTTCGAGTTATTATCCGCTTTGAAACTTTAATTTATCACGATTTTGTTTTTAAAAGACGCTCCTATAGGTTAAAAGATGAGGTATATATAAATTATTATTGACTTCAACTCCTAAGCGATGTGAAACTCATGAATATACTGTAATAATCTTCAAAGTCGAGGACTAAAAATAGGTATAAGTGGAAGAAGACTCTTTTTTTACCCATAATAGACGCTAATGTTGTGTTTAGGAATGAGAATGTCTTGGTTAAGAATAATAAAACATGTAAACCCGTTCCGTTTTACCCCATCTCATCTCTTAGCCGGACAATTATCTCCTTATAATCAAGACGGACTACAAGCCTTAATCTGTCTGCCGAGCTGACAGGCTAACGGACCAGCTCTCGAATGATATTTTTTTTTATAAATATTTTTATATGTATTTTTTTAAAATATATATTTAATTATATAAATAATTTTTAAATTTTTATTTATTAATTAATATATTTATTTGATAAATTGCAAAAATTACTATATTTATATATTAAAATAATTAATTATAATTAATAATTTAAACTTAATTAATTATTTTTTATAATTTAAATTATAATATTATAATATATTTATATATTTTAATAATATAACATAAAAAATATAATATTTTTAATTATAATTATTTTAATTTTAATATATAAATATTATTTTAAAACGATGAACTAGACGGAGCCTAACTTTTGGTACATTCTAATTTAATTATTATATATAACACCTTAATTTGGTCTCAATCAAAACATAAATTCTTTGGTTTGATCATATGTATCACAATTTTTCATGTTGTTTCCTTTATGCTAAATATTTATTATATGAGCTCCTATGCATCCTTCTTATTAACTAGGTCTGAGCATCTAGTTTTCTTATGGTGGTGTGTCAAAGCTAAACATATAACTTTTGCAGGGTCTTGACTTGAATTCTAACTTTTATATTTTTATTGACATCTCCTATGTTTATGAACAAAACTTAGGTCCCAATGAAAAATATTTAATATTTAAAAGTTTAATTTATATGAATTGGATCTAATTTAAGTTCAATCAAGATCTGATTAACTAAAGTTTCATTAGAGTTCAACAAAATTTAATAAATTAATATTTTGTATAATATAATAAAAGTATAATAAATTTATTATTAATAATAATTTTAATAAAAAATAAAAAATTTATTATCATGATTATGATAAATTATATAATAAAGAGTGAAAAATATATAATCAATAAAAATAAATAAAATAAAAAAAAATAAAAATATTATATTTAAATAATTATATTTAATATTTTAAAGAATTTTAGAGTTATTTAAAGTAGCAAAAAAAAAAATGTTCCATTTGAGTCACTCGTTTTCTTCATTCCCCGAACTGCTCCATTACCTTGCAGTACTAGACGGGTTTCAGATTGAACCGCCATAAACGCTGCCCCCTCCGAAAGTAGAATCTCCACACTGAAAAAAAGTTCAATTCCAATGTTCAACATCAAAGCTGTGCTCAGTATCGTCGTGTTTCTGAATATGAGTCACGTCGATTCAGCTGCAGAACACCGTCTTCCTCGCGTTGTCACGCCGCTTCCTGCGCCTAAGATAACCGACCTTCCTCAGGTCCACTTTCAATTTCCTCCGTTCCTTTTTACCTTTTTTGAGAGTTTGATGGTTTTGCCTTATTTGAAGAAGGAATATTGACTTGGTTCAGTGACAGTTTCAAGGAGAGCACAAGGAGAGTTTGTATTGGGGAACGTATCGTCCTCAGGTTTATCTCGGAGTTCGTGCCAGGTATCATTTTTCAACTCTCAATCCTAACAAAACTGTTTATTTTTTAAACAATTCAAAACATTATTTTAATTAACTATATTTATAAGTAATTATTACAAGATAAAAATAAATTTAGAATATTTTATTTATTTAAATTTTTTAATAAAATTATTTTTAATGATGAAAATAGAAAATTGAAACCTTTTGTTATAATTATTTAGGTATTAAACTAATTGATTACTTGAGGTAAAATAGAATCAAAAACGTTTAATATTGGTAATTTTGTCAACTTAATAATTTGATAATTTCATTAATTATTTTTATTATTTTGACTGGCAAAAACATAGGTGTATTTCCGTTTGTGTATCTATATTTCTAACATTTTTTTAAAATTTATTAAAATTTAATATATATATATATATATATATATATATATGTTTTAAAATATAAATATTTTTTTAAGATTATAAATTATTGGAAATAAAAAAACTTGAGATAGAGTTATAAAAAAATAAGAAACGTATAATTAAGAAAGAAAGATATAATTTTTTTATTTGTATTGATTATTTTACATTTGACCGGAAAGACTGAAGAAATGAATAATTAAAAAATAGAAAAAAAATAACATATAAATTATACTTTTTCTTTCTTTCATAAAAAAATATTAAAAAAATTCTTTTTGTATATAATTATGGATAACTATATTGTGAAACTAATATATTATTTTTTAATTCCCCTGTGCTGCTGTGCATGTTTAGACATGACTGATTTTGGAAAAACTTTCCAATGATAAACGCATTCTGTTTAAGAGAATCTGATGTCTATAATGTTTCCCTATATACAAATGTTCAATAATAAAATAAGAAAATAGTTTTAGATGAAATTTAAAAATATCTTCGTTAGAGTAACTCAGTATGAATTATTTCTTATTTTAAAAATAAAAAATTATAAGTCACATTATTTTTATACAATTAATTCATCAAAGGATTAATTTAGTGACAAAATCATACTACTATACTAGTGACAATCTAATAAAATAAAAGACTAAAAAAAGAAATTTAATTACTCATTAAACTTTTTATAGTTACAAAATTTCCCGTTTTAGTTTCAGTATTTAAAAACATATTCTCTTAATATCTATTCATATATTGTTTAATCCTTTTAGTTTTAAGAAATAAAAATGTTAAATCTTTTGCATAATTTATATAAAGATTACAAAATGTAAAAATATGTGTAAGGACAAAAAATTTTTTTTTTAACATAGAAACTAAAAGAATTTTTTTTCTAACTATAATTTATTGTTTTTAAAATTAGGTATGCCTTTTTCTTCTAATTTATTCTCAGCAATTAATCATTTTAAATATACACTAAATTTGTTGCAGACAATTTTATATTGTCTATTTTGTAGTTTTGCTATAAATATAATTTTTTAAACAATTCAAATTATCTTCATCTAATATATATAATTATAAAATTATATTTGTTATTATAAAAACAGTCAATTGTAAATATATTTTTTTTCACCTTTAATTCGATCACAAATTATACTGAATATGTATTGCATAATATTTGATTGATTTATGTCATTAAACTGTGCATCCTACAGAAAGTAGTCAGCATTTGACTCAGCAAGCAAGTATTCTCACTTTGTTTTTATTCTTTGGGACTTTTGGTGGTGGTGGTGTTTGTATTTCAGGACTCCAAAGTCTTTGATTGCTGGATTAATGTGGATTGCCGTGAAGGATAGCAAATATCACTTGCGGCATGTGTGCAAACATGAGGATGACCTGAGTACTTATGGTTGGACAATGCATAATGGACGTGATTTTGGACATCAAGTGCTGGTTGACCATGGAATGACCTTGACTACTGGATTTTTAAAATCAAAAGAGGAAGGCAGTGGCTATGGAGGGGATTGGACAGTTCGAGTTTGTGTGCAAGTTGATCAGTGAGTGACGTCATCAACTTCATATAACTTTCATATATGTATTGATGCGTGAGAGTAGATACTCCAAATTCGGGATTGCAAGAGTTTTATAAAATTTAATGGTAAAAAATATGAATGAAAAATTCGGCTTGATGAAACGGGTTCATGAATCTAAGAAATAGTGAGAATTCTTGATTTTTCTCCGTATCTCTCACAATTTGAAAATCCAGAATTTGAATTGAAATACTCTTGTCGAATCTTCCTAATTATATTGATTTACCGAGAGATTTCAATTGGAATTTAGTTATTCACAGTGTAAGAGGATTCCAGGATAATAGTTCCTCTGTTTACTAAGTTTTGGAGATCCATCATTAGCTAGGAATCTGACTAAAGTGACGGAAATTCAGATCTTATAGGCTATATTATAATATGGTATCATAATCAATTATTATTAGACCTTTTATGATCGAGATGAGTCCACTGAGATATCCAATATTTAGTGTGTTGAAGATCCCATAGTCAATTCTCATTTTACATCAAAGCTTATGTACGAGTAGTAATAAGAGAAATTCATAGAGATTCAAAAGAAAATTATAAAAGAAGACGAACTCATGACACCCAACTTTTGATTTGATTTATTCCCTAAATTAATAACATATTGATCTTAATTTTCTAGCTTTTGTTTCTGATTGTTTTTGTTGGGAAAAAATATGCGGAATCTTCCCATATGGTCAGATCTGTGAAAGTGAAATAAAAGCGGAATAATTGCACACACAAGTTGATAACGGAGTTCAGCCAATAATGCCTACGTCTCCGGACTACTACAGATCTCTTACTAGGAGAAAAGAAAAATACACAAGTGTTTACAAAACACTCCCAAAACACTCACAACTCACAACCCAATTACACCCAGAAGCTAAACTAAAACTCTCTAGTTTTTCTGCCTCTCACTGGTGCCACTCTTTCTTCTCTAAGAGAAGTAGTATTTTGTGTGGGATGGGATGATTTTGCTTGAAGGAAGAAGACCAATTTATAGCAAAAATTGGTACTGTGCATTACAATAAAAAAAATGCCTCGTGGGCACCTCATGCTTGAATAAAAAAATTTGCACCCACCCTTTTCTTCCATTCTTTCGGTGCAAGTGAGAAAGTTACCTACTTTCTTTGACCAACAATCTCCCACTTGAGGACCGATTTCAATCTGTCCTCACACCTTGATCAATAGTAGTCTTCTCTTGTGCTGTTATCCTTGTAAGCTAAGCTGAAGTTGAGCATAACTTCGGTTTGTCAATAGTCACCACCTTTGTTAGCATATCTGCTGGGTTCTTACTTCCCACAATTTTCTTCAATGTTAGCATCTCATCCTCAAGTAGAGATCCGATGAAATGATAACGTATGTCGATGTGTTTGGTTACTGGAGTGAAATGCTGAATTTTTTGCCGGATGTATTGCACTCCGACTATCACTGTGCAAAACACTCCTTTCTTGAATGAATCCCAACTCGCCAACAATCCTTGAAGCCATATCAATTCTTTGCTGGCTTACGTCAGCTGCTACATACTCGGCCTACTGTAGTGGATAAAGCAACAATCTTACGTATCCGCGACATCCAACTAACAGTTGTAGTTCCAACGGTAAACACATACCCGAGTGGTGCTTCTTCGGTGATCAACTTCACCTCCAAAGTCTGCATCTACGTAGCCCTGCAATTTTAGATCTCCTTTTCTAAAATACGGACATTTTTCTATTGTGCCTCGTAGATACCTCAGAATCCATTTGACTGCTTCCCAATGAGCTTTTCCTGGATTTGACATGAATCGCTTACAACTCCCTTTGCATGGCCAATGTCCGGTCTCGTACGGACCATCGCGTACATCAAACTTCCAATGGCTGAAGCATACGGAATCTTAGCCATTAACTCTTCTTCTTCCTTCGTTTGAGGAGGCTGATCCTTGGATAGACGAAAATGGCAAGCCAAAGGTGTATTGATCTGGTTTGGCATTGTCCATGTTGAATCTCTGCAAAACACGGTTGATGTACTCCGCTTGAGATAAGCTGCAAAACTCCTTTTTGCTTATCTCTCGTGATTTGCATTCCAAGAATCTTCTTTCTTGGGCCTAAGTCCTTCATGTCAAATTCTTTTGACAAGCTGCTTCTTTAAGTTTATGATCTCATTCATATCCGAACCTGCTACTAGCATATCATCAACATAAAGTAGCAAAATGATATAACTGGACTTATACCTTTTGAAGAAACAACGGTGATCGGCGTTGCACTTCGGAAACTCTCCTTGTGCATGAAGCTTTCGAACTTCTTATACCACTTGTCTTGGAGCTTGTTTCGAGGCCATACAAGCTCTTTTTCAATCTGCACACCAAGTTCTTCTTTCCTTCGAAAAACCTTCGAGGCTGGTGCATGTAGATCTCCTCATCTAAATCTCCATGAAGAAATGCGGTCTTCACATCTAATTGCTCTAGGTAGAGCTCCTCACTAGCCACAATACTTAACACGATCCTGATAGTATTGAGCTTTACAAGCTGGAGCAAAGATTTCGGTGTAGTCGACTCCTTCTTTCTGCTGAAATCCTTTGACGACCGGTCGAGCTTTGTATCTCTTAAAACCATCATGGTCTTCCTTCACTCGATACACCCATTTGTTGTGAAGTGCTTTCTTTCCCATAGGTAACTTGACTAGTTCCCATGTCGATTTGAGATCAAAGACTTCATCTCGTCTTTCATGGCAAGCTCCCACTTGCTAGCATCAGTGGCTTGACAAGCTTCAGTATAATCTTCGGGCTCCCTCCATCGATCAACAACATGTAGTCCATGTATCTCCTGTTAGGCACATGAGGCCGAGAAGACCTTCTCAATACGGGAGTTGGAGTAGGAGGTTACGCTTGCACATCAAGTTCTTCAAGCTGATTCCTCTGGTGAGGACTCCTCATTATAGGACTTTACGGGATATCTTCCACCTCTGCATAAGCTGGCCCACTCGCTTCGAGTTGCTGGCACTTGTATTATGCTTGTCCTTGTACATCACTCTTTCATTGAAGATTACGTCTCTGCTGCGGATCATCTTTTTGTTTTCATCGTCCCATATGCGGTAGCCAAACTCATCTTCACCATAACCAAGGAAAGTACATTTCTTTGATTTTGGATCAAGTTTGTTTACGCCTTGATCAGCGATATGCGCATATGCTACACGACCAAAAACTCTAAGATGTGAGAGTTTTACCTCTTTTCAGCTCCATACCTCTTACGGTATCTTGTGCTCCAATGAGTACCGATGGACTTCGGTTGATCAAGTAAGCTGCTTGTGTTGACGCTTACGCCCAAAGCTGCTTTGGTAAGCCTGACTGCACACGCATGCTTCGGCCCTTTCGATCAACGTTCGATTCATACGCTCAGCTACACCATTGTGTTGAGGCGTACCGGCACGGTTCTCTCCATTACGATTCAGTGCTCATAGCAAAACTTCTTGAATTTGGTGTCTACATATTCACCACCATTGTCGGATCCGAGCTTCTTAATCTTCAATCCTGTCTCATTTTCCACCATAGCTTTCCAAATCTTGAAAGCTTCAAATACTTCGACTTATATTTCGGAAAGTAAACCCATACCTTTACGGAGTGATCATCAATGAAAGTCACGAAGTAATGCTTCCCACCAACGGATGGGACGGTCGTTGGACCCCAAACATCGAGTGGATGAGCTCAAGCTTCTCTTTCTTTGGGGTTCTTTTACTTGTCTGAAAGCCGACTCTCTTACGCTTTCCAAGTATGCGATCTTCACACATGTCAATATCTACTGGCCGAAGACCTGGTAATTTTCCTTTCGAGTGCATGACCTTCATTCCTTTCTCACTCATATGTCCAAGTCTTTGGTGCCATATGTTGGAATTTTCATTCTGCTGCAACTGCAATCAAATGACATGCTCTTGCGATCTTGTAGAGAGTTCCACTCTTTTTGCCTCGAGCAATCGTCATCGCACCTTTTGAGATCTTCCATTCATCACCAGTGGAAGATTGTCGTATAGCCTTCACTAGCTAAGCGACCTCCGAGATTAAGCTCTTTGTCGGGTCGGGAATATGTCTAACATTTTTCAATTCCCATACGGACCCATTCGAGCTTAATCCTTCTTGCACCTTTGCCTACAATCTCACATGATTGTTCATTACCAAGGTAAACCTTACCAAGGTTTCGGGAACATAATTCTCCAACGAGTTCCTTACGTGAGGTAGCATGAAAAGAAGCTCAGAGTCTAACACCCAAGACTCCTCCCTGCCTTCAAGAGAGCATATCAACGCCTCATCTTTTCCTGAGGTGGAGGCAACGTTTGCTTCGTCCTTTGCTCCTTGATTCTTCAGTGCACTCTTGCCTTGGTTTTACGAAGTGTCCGGTCTTCCCACAATTCCAACACTCGATCGTTTTTGAGTTGTGGGAACTACGATGATTCTCGGACTTGGACCGCTTGTCCTTTGATTTTCCATGTCCAATTTCTTTGGTTGAACTTCTTCCTCTTGACTCTGTATGCAATGCTGAAGAGGTTGATGCTTCACCCGACTCTCTCCATCGGATCTCTTGGTCGAGAACCAAATTTTGAACATCATTAAATCTTAACTTATTGTTTCCAGATGAGCTACTCACAGTTGTGGCCAGTAGCATTCCAACTCTACGGTAGGGAAGACAAAAGTATTAAAGTCTGTACTTCATCATCGAATTTGATGTCAATAGAACTCAGCTGGGTTGTTATAGTGTTGAGTTCATTGAGATGATTTGCCACCGAAGCACCTTCGGACATCGCGAGGTTGAACAATCGCCTCATCAAGTGAACTTTGTTTGAGGCTGATGGTTTCTCGTACATGTTGGAAAGAGCCTTCATGAGATCCGAGGTCGTCTTTTCTTTCACAATGTTGAAAGCAACATTACGGGATAATGTTAGACGAATAACTCCAAGAGCACTGTCTATCAAGGAGTCTCCATTCTTCCTCTTTCATGGTTTTCGGCTTCTCCCACGTGAGTGGTTG